AGAAGAAATTATATTTGAAGTGCAAGCTATTCGCAGAATATCTGCAGTGAAAGCAGAAGAATACCAATATGACCAATTGACGAATGTCAAGACATAGCGAGAGTACTTAAAACAGCAAAACCACCAAAATCAAACATAACCGTGAACGAAAAAAGAGCACTACGAACATTGAGGTCTTATATATAATCTAGAGTGCGTATGCCGTTGTCCCCACCACGCCTAAAATGAAGCCAGAACATGGCAACCTATGTTAGATGTACCAACGTAGCGGGAAATTCGAAATTCTTATATATACCTATGCAAGAATTTACATTATTATAAACTGGAAAGGCAGAAAATAATAACCAAAACAAAACATTAATATTTATTGATAAATAATTATTAATTATATGATATTTTAAAAGAACTTAATAATTTTTAGCCATGACTCTCATAATTAACAAACTAAGAAGAAAATATTTAAGGAACAGTCCTTAATAATAAACTTTACTTGAACTTCAATTGAAGACCTCGGTGCAAGAAGGGAGTAGCTTCATTTATCAAGAGAAGGAGCAGAAGGAGTTGTCCCCTTCTTATACCGAGGTCTTCAATTGTTAATTCCAAGTCAACTAACTAGAAACATTTTATGGACTGTTGTAAATAATCGTCCAACTTAGCAAATTATAAAAAACATATGTCAAAACGAAAAGAATTCGAAAACTTTCAACAAAAATCAAATTTTAATAAAAATAACAATATGTTTATGAGAATTGTGAGGTTATAATTGTAGGTACAATAGAGACTTGAAACTATAGCTAAGTTCAGGTCGGTACATCCAACATGTCTGACTTTCTGATTACCCCCACCACCACCACATACGCTCTCTAGATTATATATAAGACCTCAATGACTACGAACGATAGAGGAAAAAACAGAAGTTATTGTCCTACCAGCGGTCAAGGGGAATGCGACCGTGGTTATGGACAGAAATGAATACGATGACAAGATCAGAAACCCTTTTAGACCCAGCCGCCTATAAAAAGATAAAAAAAGACCCAACCGAGAAGGTAGCATGGAAGATAAAAGACCTGGTAAAATCAACAGGAATCCCAGCAGAACTACAGAAAAGCTTATTCGTACAGGCCCCAGTACCCCCAAAAATATATGGATCACCTAAAATCTATAAATCAGAGGTTTCAGTATGCCCTATTGTCAGTGCCATAAATTCTCCCACTTATCGGATAGTAAAACAGCTTGCCAAGATTCTGTCTCCTTCTGCAGGTAAAACAGAGTGATATGTCAGAGATTCCACACATTTTGTAGAATCAATCAGAGTATCAAGCTAGACCCTCAGAATATCCTGGTAACTTACGACGTGGAATCTCTATTCACCAGAGTACCAGTCAAAAATGCCGTGGAGGGTGTTAGCCAGAAACTCATTCCGGTGGGTTTTGCCAAAGTATGTTCCAGGACTAGTGGAGTACTGCCTATCGTCGCCATATTTTGGCTGCGACGGAGCGAATTGCGAGGAAAAGTGATATCGTGGTAAGATATGGAACGGTCAGCAAAATACAAAACGCTCTTCCGATAGCCAAAGACAAACTATCCCCATTAAAGGGAGCGGGTCTCTCTATAGGACCCTATCTATAGGCTATCGTGCAGTTGCGGTAAATATTACGTTGGCCAAACTGGACGTAACATCGAATGCCGCATCAATGAACACGAAAGGGATGCTCGACTGAGTAAAATCCAACAATCTGCAGTCGCAGAGCATTGCCACAAAGGAGGACACACCATAAAGTTTGACAAAATCAAGGTGCTAGCAAGAAACGGACATGACTTCCAAAGATTGACTTCTCCACACGGATGATGTCGATGAAAAAATTCACAAAAACAACTTAGTTGACAATTAGACACCAATTAGTTATTAACTATCTTTTCATGTATTTATTGTCAAATTTTAACCGATTTCATCTAATCAAAAGTTACGCGATATTACAAGTAATTACTTATTTACGTAAAATACTTTGTTAAATTGAAAATTACACTGAACATTTTAATATATCCAATATCGGGAATGTTCCAAAGCGCAGATTGAAAATATATCCGAGTTAGTGTAAACAAGATGTGCATATACATACTAAGCAAAGAAGAAAAAGGAATATTAATCCTAGATGTCAAGGTTGCACTAATTATTTGATGCAACGAAGAAGATGATAATCAAGGTGAAATTTTTTTAAATCTGAAGATTTTTTTATTTGGCAGATATAACGATCAAAATTAATAATCCCTTCCAAAGCTGATTAGTGAATAAATTAAAACTGAAGGAATAGTTAAAATCCCAAGGCGGCCAATTTACTTTCTTAATGTTCAAAAGCATTATTTCTTTGTATAATATAAACAAACAGGACAACGAACTGTTCAACGTAACTTTCACAAAGCTGATGTTTTTCAAAGCGTTCCGTCTGTATCGCGTGCCAGTTTCTATTTCCTTTTAGCCTTTTTCCGCTAAACTTATTGCCACACGTAATCGGTTAATGTAGCCTCTATATCATACAGGACGTAATTGCATTCTTTAAGCACTGACCAATTTATTGGTCGGTTATTAACAAGAAAACCAAACTCTCAACAACATATTCCAATATTATTTCAGTACATTTATGCTCAATATATTGCGCGGATAACGTAACATTAACTCGGATTTGTTTATAAACATATTAATAATAAACGACAGTACGTAACTTGGTTCAAGATAAATCTATATCCGGTGTCAGGAGAACGAGCACGAGTCGCGGTTATTGTTAACTGTTGTTTTACTTACGTTTCAGTGTAACTGTTAGTAGCAATAAAGGAAGTCATTCGAAGTATTGCAATGGTTCATTTATGTTTATTAGTAATAAGTGTTATTACTATTATTACGATCTGTACATCTCATTTAGAGAAATTAATCTGATTCAATTTAACGTCACTAATATTCGCACATTTATGAAGATATAAATTATAAAGTTATTAAGTACAATTATTTTTTTAATTTTATGGCTATCACTAAACATAACTTTTGTGTGGTATAGAAAGTTAAATTACAATAGAATATGTGTGGCTTTACAGTCACGCTTTATTAGCAAAGAGATAATGTAATAAGTTAATTAGTTTATAAAAAGTCTCGCCGCTCAACCTAATTTAAAGAGAAGTAAAGCGATATAATTTTTTTTCTATCCGAACACTAATAGATCTAATAGACGTATAAATAGAAACTAATTAATATCGTAAAATAATCATCAAACCACTCTTCAAAACTATAATAAGAGCCGCTCCTCATTCATTTCCGCTTCGATAAATCTTTTTTCTATTCATTCGCAATGAGGAAATCGATTTATCTACAATTTTTATTTTAATTTTCCACCAACAAATGAAATTTATCGATAGGAAGTAAAGGTGGAACTCATTTTTACGTCGTCACTGACCCACCAAAGACTTTCTGGGTAACTGTGCGAACCGGCAACCTTAACCTACCATTAAGATGAGATACCTTGACCGCAATCCTCGGTCTGAACCTTAAGCTTCCATATACGGGAGGCCTCAGGATGCCAAAACCGGCCCGTCTCAGTCGGCGAAGAAATTCAATTAATCCAAAAACCGGGACGATGAACAAGAAAAACAGAAATGGTAAAAAAGAAAAATGTAATCCAGGTACCTACCTAATTAACACGTAAACCCAAGAAGGGATTCCTTTCATGAAGTCTTTTTTATACGTCACCATCAGGTAGGAAAAATTCTATTTAAAAATATTCGTTTGTTATTGTCCAAAAACATTTTTAAATAAGAATATGGAATTAAACGATATTTGGGTGCATAATGCCAAATGAACTGAAAGAGGCGAAAGCTATCTAATTATAAATTTAACGCTTTCACGATCTATACAGGAAGTATGAAACATGTTAATAGGTCCTTTGTAGAAAATCGAGGGAGTATTAATTACGTCTGTTTTATTTAAAGTTAATTTTAAATTGCCATCTAATTTCCGAAAAAGATTTTTTTAATGATAATTATCTAAAAAATTCTTATAAAAAATAAAATCTGTAGAAATGTAAAAAAGTAAACAAAATCGCTTACAAACGTCTCACTTACCGATGGTAGGTCTCCGTTAGCGCCGTCGATGGTAGGCGTAAAAGGATAACGAAGAAAAACTACCGCGAGAACGAATCGTAGTCGTCGTCACCGTGGAGTTTGTAGTAGTAGAGAGAACGGAGTAAAGAAAGAGAAAAAAAAGAAAAAAAATAACAAGGATCGAGAAAATAAAGTTGGTATCAATCCGTTGGACGTCGATAGCGGTCGATCGACAAAAACGAACCCGCGAAAGGATCTGGTAAACACACTGCACGCGACCGACTCAGAGAGACGACGAGACTAACTGAGATATACCTTCACAGGTGAGCCTTGCAAGAAAACTGATCGAGGCAAGGCTGCTGCTGGTCGTCGGTCTGAGACTCCTATCTCCTGCCGAGCTACCGCTTGCTGATGGAGGCACACCGTACATGTCATTCGCGATTTGCTCGCGTTTTCGTCGCGGCCCCTTCTTTCTCCTTTCTTCATCGCAACGATCCGCGAAAGAATCGCCACTCATTGAATCACCCATCATATATCTTAGGCATACACACCATATTATATACTACCATTAAATTAAAAAATTATTATTCAAACTTTTCAAGTCCCGGAACACTTACGTACGTAAATAGTAATAATGATAGATATATTTGGTAGATTCACACAATAAACTTTATTGGTATTAATTAAAAAAAATAGTAAATTAATAAATACTTCTACATAATTGGAAAAGACAAACTTTACAAGAACTACAACGGAAATAATATTAATTATCCTCAAAGTATTAGAACTTACATGCACATTTTTCACTAAGATATAAACGTTTGTAAGTTGTATATAACACATAAGAAAGAAGATACGAAATAGTTACAATTCAAAGAAAAATAATACAGATGTTTCAAAAGAATCAAATTAAAAAATCGTAAAATATTTGATTTTATTTATAAAGTAGATAAACATACACTCTAAATAAGCATAAAATACATTATTTAGGTCCCAACATTTGCTCAGGTTTAACCCACTCAGCAAATTGCTGCTCATTGAGATGTCCAAGTTTAATGGCAGCTTCCTTCAAAGTACTCCCATCTTTATGGGCCGTCTTCGCGATTTCAGCAGCCTTGTCGTAACCGACGTGTGGATTAAGTGCTGTGACCAACATAAGACTCCTCTCCATAATCGTTTTAATCGCCTCCGTATTAGCCTTGATTCCACACACGCAATTCTTTGTAAAAGCCATACAACTATCCCCAATCAGTTTCGCCGACCGTAACACGTTCGATACAATTACCGGTTTAAAAACGTTCAATTCGAAATGTCCCGTCGCACCACCGACGGTACATGCCACGTGGTTACCAATAACTTGGGCGCAAACCATCGTGATGGCTTCGCATTGTGTTGGATTTACCTTTCCCGGCATGATACTGCTACCCGGTTCGTTCTCCGGTAAAGATAATTCGCCAAGGCCGCATCGTGGGCCGGAACCCAAGAAACGTATGTCGTTTGCGATTTTCATCAGTGAACAGGCGATTGTATTCAGTTGTCCTGAAACTTCTACCATTGAATCGTGGGCGGCTAAAGCTTCGAATTTGTTTTGGGCTGTTACGAATGGTAAACCTGTTAGTTGAGCAATAACAGCGGCAGATTTTTCCGCAAATCCTTTCCTAGTATTTAAACCAGTTCCAACGGCGGTCCCTCCTAAAGCTAATTCGTATAATCTTGGTAAAGAACTTTCTATTCTATCAACTCCGTAAGCTACTTGTTGAGTATAACCGCTAAATTCTTGTCCTAATGTCAAAGGAACTGCGTCCATTAGATGAGTACGACCTATTTTAATAATCTTATCAAATTCACAAGCTTTTGTTTGTAAAGCGCTTCTTAAAGCCTCTAACCCCGGTAAAGTGCAATGATTTAATTCTTCAGCGACCGCGATATGCATAGCTGCTGGAAAAGTATCATTGCTACTTTGGCTTTTATTAACGTGGTCATTTGGGTGTACAGGAGTTTTAGATCCGAGTTTACCACCCATCTTCTCAATAGCTCTGTTACTAATTACCTCATTAGTATTCATGTTTGTTTGTGTACCAGATCCCGTTTGCCAAATAACTAAAGGAAAATGTTTTTCATATAATTCACCACATATAACCTCATCGCAAACATCGGAAATCGCGTCAGCTATTTTCACATCTAAACCAAACTCCTTATTAACAATAGCCGCAGCTTTTTTTAAAATACCCATTGCTCTAATAACTTGTGGAGGCATTCTTTCCGCATTACCACCGATCGGAAAATTCAATACAGATCTCATCGTTTGACACCCATAGTATTTATCAGCAGGAACTTTAAGCTCACCCATAGTGTCTTTTTCTATTCGAAAATCGCCAGAATAACATCGCTGATACCTTAAAACGCTCCAACACCTATTTAAAATAAATCGTTTGTACAAAACTTTTTTGAAGAACATTTTGATTTTGAAACTTCAACTAATGTCACAAAAGGACAGTTTTTCAGATATTTTTTTGACGTGAATGGACTACTACAAATAACCATCGCTGTTCTACAGCGGAATCTTTATTGGCTGGCATACATTATGTCAATTACCGGAGAGGAAGTGCGGACGTGCGTTAGATGAACGCGGCAGATTATGCGGTGTACATTTCGAGTTCAATAAATCAGTACGCGAGCTGGTAATGTGGAAATCGAGCTTAAATCCTGCTCTCGCATTCGAACGATGCGCTACTCATTAGCTGCTTGGACTCCATGCAATGTGACCTCGAATTACTTATAAGTACATATTTATACTAACAATATCTTGTAAACTTATCCTTTTACAAAGAACATTATCACTTCTTTAATCTTAAAAAATTCTTCATGAAAATTATTCTCTTACAATTAATAAGAAATCTCTTGAAAGATTATAATTTTTAAAATTCGGACCTTGCGCAAGATATATGGACCCATACATGATGGTACTGGAATGAGGATAATGTATGGATGATACATCTGGAGAAATGCAGGAAGACAGAGGAGTGAAGAGAATTGTAGAATGGACACCACATAGACACGGAGATAGAGGAAGACCAAAGAAGCCCAAAATGTACAGAATACCGTAGTGCTGGGAGAAGAAAAAGAATACATGATTTCGCAGAATGAAGCACAAGGTGTTATTAATGTCATATCAGCTCAAAACTAGTAAACATATATTGCATTGCCTTGGCACAAGCAAACTCAGCTTAATGCGGCCCATACACGCGCAGGTAAGTGTTAGCACTTGCCTGCACAGGTCGTAACTCACGAGTAAGTGCGTAAGTGTAGGACCTAAAACTGAGAGCGAGTTCAGTTCCGGGCGCGGCTCGAAATAAATCAGATGAGGTTTGATTTTTCGTGCAAGTCCGAAGGTAAGTATGAATGTGTATGTTAATTTATTCGAGTCAAGCATCAGTTTTCTCAACATGTCGCGAAATACATCAAAAAAATATGAGGAGGTTATGAGAGAGTTCATTGACATCTATAAAGAAAATGAATGTATATGAAAATTAAAATCTAAAGATTATACAAATAAAAGCTTAAAAGAAGAAGCTCACAAGAAATTAGTAGAAAAATTAACTGAAGTTGACTCAAACGCAAAAAAAGAAGATGTTATAAAAAAAATAAATTCTTTACTTAGTTGCTTTAGAAAAGAATTTAAGAAAGTTACCGATTCAAAAAAATCTCGGTCTGGTTTTGAACAGGTATATAAGCCAAATCTTTGGTATTACGAGCTCTTATTGTTTTTAAAAGATCAAGAAATCCCAAGGGAATCGGTAGGATTTGATACACCACACTTTTTTGAGGACACTAGTGACGTAAGTTTTGTTTTTCGGTTATATGAAGGTGCTAATGTTTGTTTTTTTTTAGGGTAAATCAGATGGGAATTGTGATGATCCACAAACACCTAAGTCCGTATCTTCTTGCCATTCATCAATATCTTCCGTTAAAAGAAGAAGAAATGCTAAAGAAAACGACAATACGGAATCGCTAATAACATTAGTAACCGAAAAGCTTAAAAAAACCGAAGAAGACGAATTTGACATAATTGGCAAAAACGTTGCTGAAAAATTAAGGAAACTTCCTACTAATATAAAGTTATTTTCAGAAAAAATAATAAACGATTGTCTTTTTGAGGCACAATTAGGCACCTTAAACCGGCATGCATATATAGAAATCCCACAACAAGCACAATCATACATTTGTCCAAGCGAAAATTTTACATTAACGGTAACTCATTAAATTTTGAAATATTATATTAAAATTACACGATTTATCATTTCAGAATTTACAACAGCAAAGACAAACCTCTGATGTAACTAATTATATAAATAATTTTCAAGGTTAATACTCAAAGTGTTAAAGGTTTAGTACTTCTGTTTATTTGTTATTATTAAACATTTTTTGTTACACAATATGTTACATTACATAAATAAAAGGAGTGTTTTTGTAAGTTTTTAAAAAATAAACCAATTTATTCATTACTCTTTGATTTAATAAAAAAAATAGTAAGCTATAAGCAAAAGTACTATCAGTACAATATTCTGGATGGGTTGCACCAACATTTTTAAGAAACATTTTTTATATTTTAATTCAGTTCAAAAAGTTTACACACTTGACAAAGTAGGATTAATTTTATAAAAAGGGAATATTTATGTTTATTTTATAGCATTTTCTTGCCACGAAACTTTTCCATCAGTTATAAAATATTCCAAAAATGCGTTCCTAACTTCTTTGCCTTGGTCCGAAGCATGCCTATTTTGTCCTCGTTTTAAATTTGTAAATCCATGTTCTTCTTCATAAATGAAAGCATCTTCAATATCAGTGTAATTGAATCCCAAATAATCTTTGCTTTTTTGTCTAAGAAAATTATGAAGCGCGCAGGTTGCTAATACAACGGATTCGATATTTTTTATTTGCATGTTTATTTCTGTGTGATAAATTCTGAATCTACTAGCTAAAATGCCAAACGCATTTTCAACAACGTTCCTTGCACGCGAAAGACGATAATTGAATATTTTTTTAGGTGTTGAGAGATCTCGTTGGGCAAACGGTTTCAAAAAATCTGTTCGCAAAGAAAATCGCCAATAAAAACAAAAGGTAGCTTAATTGTGTTGTTTGCATTAACAAAAGATGAATTTGGAATATGTAAATTCTTGGATTTTAATTTCTCATAAAAAATTGTGTTTTCAATTACACCGCCATCTGACACACGTCCGTTTATACCAAAATTTACCAGGATAAATTGATAGTTACTATCAACAATAGCTAATAATACTGAACTGAAAAAGCCTTTATAATTAAAAAAATATGATCCACTATTAAGGCTTAACGATTCTGACATGTTTCCCATCAACTGCTCCTAAACAGTTTGGAAAATTCCACCTCCGTTTAAAACCTTCAGATATTATTCTCCAATCATTTTCACTCTGAGGAAACTACAAATGTACATGATTTGAAACAATATTTCAATTAATGATTATACTAAAACTACCTTTACATAGTCTTTTAAAACAATACAAATTGCTTTGCATGTTTCAGGAATTATCCGTCCCAATGCTTGTGCTGATATTATTGTTGTGAACTTCAGATCCTCATAACTTCTTCCTGTGGCTANAAGTTAAAAACTCAAGTCGGCACGGGTTATCGTTTATAAATCGGGCTAATATTTATTTCTAGACTATATTAGGTCAATACGAAAGTTTTTAGAAGGTATACGTAAAAATATATTGAAATTGAAATTTAAGGGACACCCTAATGCACACACATATCGATATTTAACCTAGTGTGTCATGAATACCTAGTGCGCCCTAGTGAATAACCGGATGAAGTGGAAGTTTGAAAATTTGTAGACTTGTGATGCCAGCTTTTTAACTAAAGTATTTTCAGATTCCGGGTACTTGTGATTACACCGGAAGAGGTGACAGTTTTCATATTTCAAATGGAACACCCTGAGTTTTATTACATTTTTCAATCAAAAATGTCAACTACAACGTTACTTTTTATAATTTATAAATCATCTAGTTTGACCGCCGGAAAAAAATTTGGTGNCACTCTGAGGAAACTACAAATGTACATGATTTGAAACAATATTTCAATTAATGATTATACTAAAACTACCTTTACATAGTCTTTTAAAACAATACAAATTGCTTTGCATGTTTCAGGAATTATCCGTCCCAATGCTTGTGCTGATATTATTGTTGTGAACTTCAGATCCTCATAACTTCTTCCTGTGGCTAAAAACCTGAGAGTGGCACTCAATCTCTCATGAGGTGTTATCGCTCTTCTCATTCTTGTGTCCTAATGTTTGATAAGAGGTGTTACTAAATTTAATAATTCAAGATAACTTTCTTCGTCCATTCTTAAATAATTTCTATAGTCGTCGGGCTGCAGTTTTAATTCAGTCAATAAATTAACATGGGAAAATTTGTCACGTTTGGAAAGCCATGCTTTTGTCCACTTAGTACGTTTTGATATCTTTTTCATATTTTGTTTGTTTTTGATAGTAATAAGCAAAAGACCAATTGCAATTAATATTGATTCTTCAGAAGTCATCATATGAGAATATTTATGTATAACAAGTAAACCACACTACCACATTAAATCTTCTTCTAAACAATTCCATTAAAACTGAGAATCTGAAGTGAATAATGTATGGCGAAAACTCGCGTTCAGTTTTGCTCGAGAGCTTAACTGTGCGTATTTACTCGCGGACTTACCTGCGTGTGTATGGGCCGTATAATAAACTGAAATCATACATTCAGTCATAAAATTACTATCATATCGATACAGTATGTAAAAATGGATTTTATTCTACTTTTTTGTACCTAGAGTTGAATTAATTATAAAAAAGTCTGTGAAATAAAGTACCTATATTTGTCAAGTAGTAACAAAAATGTACGTNAATTGTCACCTCTTCCGGTGTAACCGCAAGTACCCGGAACCTGAAAATATTTTACTAAAAAGCTGGCATCAAACATCAGAAGTCTGCAAATTTTCAAAAAGCACACTAGGTTAAATATCGATATGATATGTGTGCATTTTTCAAAAAACCCTAATTATCTCCCAAACTATAAATGTTAGGTATAAAATATGGGGGGTGCCATTTAAAAAAATGATGTTATGGTATTTCCAAATTTCGAAAAGTTAACGTGCCGTAGTAAAGTGACCAAACGTTCCAGACGGCCGTACTTGACACCAAAACATACTCCATCATGTTGCTTACGCATATTCTGAATCTTAAATTGATATCCCAAAAATCGAGTGTTCTCTGATTTTTTTAACAAATGTCTGCTGGAGCAGATTTTTCTAGAAACGGCCGAATCAAATTGCAAAAAGTAAAGTTATTCATAAACCTTGAAAACAGACAAATCCAAATATGTAAAAATATATAGGGTGTTCCATTTAAAAAAATAAAGTAGGTGGCGACTTCCGGTATAACCGGAAGTGCTAGAAATCTGAAAATAGTTTAGTCGAAGAGAACGCAATTAATAATCCTTAAATCTGAATTTTCAAATTTTTGTTTTGGTTAGAACCCTGTAAAGTTCTAATGAACGGTCGTCATGGATGACCCTGTATAAGAAATACAAAAAGTAGTGTCGAACTAGCCCCCGAGCAGATGACGTCGTAAATATGGACGTAAGCTCGCAAATTTCTAGTAATCACGAGCGCGATCTAAATTAATCACGGCGGTTTACGCGCTCGGGTGCGTCTCGAGAGTGTGAATGTTTAGCAGCAGATAGCTTCATGGGTTTTACTCCACGTACCGCCGCCCTTCTAGTTGATCGTCTCTGTCCAGATGGAACGAATACTGAGCTATTATAAAAAAGTTACCACTTAAAACCTCTAATAAAATAACATTTTCACATTTATTAAAAATTCGAAGGAGATATAAGCATGGAGAGTAATTCGGGGTCACGTCCGTATGTAAATTTCGACCATTATTCCCAATGAACAACGTCGCGCGGTTTTAAATGCAAAACTCTTTTGTGTTTTGTAGACGTCAGTGACACTTTTACGCGACAAACACCATTGATCGCTGAACAGGGCACATATCGGCCGTACTCGCACGCTTACGGAATACACGCTGAGTTTGGAAGAAACGGCTGCGAATAAGTAATGAGAATAATCGTCGTCTCTTTCCTTTTATAACAGACCGCCCGTAAACCCGTCACCTTTTCAACCACTAAAAACGGCGCGCTTTGATAAACAAATTGCCAATTAACGCAAGGGGTGAATTTGCAATTATGCGAATCAGAGAATTCCCTGTCAATTCGATCGCTTTTATTAGAACGATCAGGATAAATTATACACTTGTGGTCGTCTTTCACGTTACTACGAATTCACTAGAATCACACAATGATAATTTCTTGGAAATATTTAACTACATTTTCCAAACATATTACATCTTAATCTATGAATATTAACGTGTAATACCAATGACAACAACATGTAACATGTAAACCCGAATGATTCTAGTTCTATATATAGAATGATTATTTTTATTTTAATTATGTTTGCCAAAATAAAACATTCATGATGTGAAATTAGTGGAACTTCCGGAAGATTTTACATACAAGTTCCTTGTGAAGATTGGTAAGTATGTGCAACTTGGTGCAACTATACATATAGGAAACTTATAGAAGACTCATTAAATGCAGTTTTGATGGTGACTCGGTGGAAACTTTAAAATGAATTAAGTATTATATACAGGGTGATTCACATAAGAACCGACACAGAGCAGGGACATGTAGAGGACAATAAATTAAGATGATTTAAAGTAACTTACCTCTATACTAA